ATTACCTTGGGTGAAATATTGGATCTAATTTGTATTTACTTAAAATTATTATGTTTTGAATCAATGAGAAATAAATGTTTGTAACTCATCATATGTCAAAGCAACTGTTTTTCAAACTTGCCATGTTTTATTTTCATAATATTGGCATGAAAAAAGCGATGACTCCATCATGCTTAAAATCCAAAAGTCTGATTGTAAAGGATTATTTTACTCCACCGTATTTTATCAATAAATGAAAACGTTTGAATATCTCTCAATTCTCTAAACGGGTTGTCCAAATGAACTTTCATCATGGATATTGTTGAACATCTTTTGGATGAAAAATATATCGTATTTTACTTTGGAAGATTGTTGGTTTTTTACCACTACTTTCAATCTTATTAAATATATTGCTTTGGCGATATAAAATTGATCAAGCTTTTGATCAATAGCAATAATATATTAAGACACTTCAAAAAACACATGTTGAATTATGCTAATCTTACAAAAAATTTCAAAATAATAAACGATATATCAGGAATTGAGAACATTAAGAAGTATAATAATGCTTTTCATTTTAATCATATTAATATTGAATTATCAAATTTAATTCAATCTTGCTAGTAGGTAAAACAGTGTTATTTGAATCAAAGTTTTCAATCTGTTGTCATGCTTATGTGTTAATTTGAGCTACATCTAAACCATTTTGCCATTGTTGATGTTGATCAAAGCTATGTTCATTATTTCACAAATTTTTATATTCATAAATTTTTTGACCTAGTCATGATAATTTAGCATTTCAATAGATTTCAAATAATACATTTGCATCTCAAAATACCTCGTCAACTTTTAAATATCTTCATCATGATTGTACTTTAATTGTTTATGTACATGAAATAATATTGTATGTGCTTCATCAATAAAATTTAAAAAACGTTTGACTTTGTGTCACATTTCATCATCACGTCTTATCAACCCAAAATGAATCAAAGTGATACAACAAAATATTTTTTTAACCTGAATTACTCAAACTCAACAATTGCATGAATTTTGGAATTACTATCATGCAGATTGTTGATCTTTTGCCATTATCAAAAGTCATAGATAAATTGCTTCTCAAACTTCTTTCATTAGTGTATTTTTGTTGGCAGCGTACATACTACTATCGAGTTCAAGCAATGTGTTTGAATTTTTTTGCTTAGACGTCTTGATATCTTGTGACAACATCAAAACATCTAAAATTTCAAACATGAAGATTCTAAAAAATCTATACATCTCTTCTGTCTTATGATACACTCATAGAACTTTTCTGTAAATTGCATCAAGCTATAAAGATACGACACAAGTATAAATAAATTTAAAGTTTTGTTATCAACTGTAATATCATGAACAACAAAAAAACAAAGCAAACAAAGAGATGGTACAAAAATAATATTTGGATCATCTTGCTGAAACTATTTCCACAAAAGCACATTTAAAAAAGAAGTCCTAAATTTTTGCTATAGATAACTTCAATTTACAATGAAAAATTCAACAGCTTAACTAATCAAGTAAAAGCTAAGCAGACCTAGGTTTATATATTGATATCTAACATTTTTTGTATCTATTTTTGTAAACAAAATTTAACACGTTCAAACACAATTTCTATTAAATTTTTTTATGAAAATGTAGCAAAAATAAATCTAACATTATATTAAATGAATCTTTAAAATTATTTTCGAAATTTGGAATTTTACACTTTATCTAGATTCTTGATGTTTTTGATATTTTTTTTATATATGTAGTAATAACATGTGAAATAAATAATATGTCTCAAAATTTATAAAAAAATTATAGAATTTCATACAAATTTTTTAAATCACAGTATTAAAAAGAACAATTATATAGTTGAATGTCTTTATTTCAAACTTATGTATTTATAATAATAAAATAATAAACTCAAAATAGTTTTAAATTGATAATGTGGAAAAAATGAAATTTGAACTCAAGATACATTATTATATTATAAATATATTTTCAAGATGCATATAGAGTTAAATTTCATATTTAAGAGAATAAACTCATGTTTAAATTATTTTTTACATGCTTACTTTTTTTATATTGCTAAATCACTCAATTATTTATGCATATTTATTAGCATATGTTATATATTTGCAAAATATATATTGCATCATTAAAGTCATTTTTTTATAATAAATTTTTTCTTAAAAATAATAAAATATTTACTAAAAATTAATTTAAGAATATTTAAATCTGAAATTTCAAATAATTTGGAAATAAATTAATTCAATAAATTAAAATTATAATTGAGTCAGTAAGAGTACATCTTCATGTGTAATATTTTCAACATGAAGCTCGTATTTTTTATTTAGTCAAATAACTCTTTCAATAAAATATAATTCATATATAATATTGAATAATATAATTTTCAATATTCAATATATAGAATATTGAATATTCAAACATATCTTAAGATTTTATTAGATATATTGAAAAATAATAAATTTTGAATCAATTTTATCATAATTGAAATGAAACTTCCAACAATGTAGTTACCTGATTGAATCATGTTGAAAAGACCTGAATTTTATCACAAACAATCTGTTGAACATGAGGAAATGTTCATCTATAATGAAAAATAACTTCTTCTTTTCTAATTTTCTAATCTAGTTGAAAAGAATATTGATCATCACTTAATTCTATTGAATCAAAATGAATTTTTAAATTTTTGAAATCGGATACTTTTAAATTTATGCATTGAGTTTTTCTCCACATTTAACTAATGAGGGAAATTTTCACGATCTTGGATAAGACTGCAAAATGAATATGAATGTAAAGATCAAGAATAGTTTTTCAAAGATTTAATAAGATTTATTTAAGATGAAATTTGTATATCATCAAAATTTTGAAAGTAATATGCATTGAAAAATCTGTTGATGATCGATATGGAAACAGAATTTCATGTTTGATTTGATTACCGTATGATGAAGCAAAAACAGACATTTCACTAGGTTTGGATAATTGTAGAACCAACTTTGAACATCTATACATGAGATTCATGTATAAACGTATACTGTCAACTAGTTATGTGCATATCTCAACTGGGAATTCTAGGAATGTTTTTAAGGTTCACTAGTATGTCATTGATCCCCGGCGATGCTTGTTCTATATCTACAACCAGGATCGTAAGAACAATTCCTTGTTGGACTCTTAAAATTTACAAGACTAAAGTTTGAAATTTGGAAGAGACTTTTTGTCCATAGTTTGTCAAAATAGTTCGTGATTAGAAAAATAGATTCACATCAGAGAATCGTCGAAGTGTACCTTTGAACCGAGCATCGAAATGATAAATACGTTCTAATATAAACATTAATTACATAACAAAATAGACTGAATTGACATCCGGTAGTCAGTGTATCTCGGTCTCAGGGCATATTGTGATGTTATTACAGTATGCTACTCACAATCTAGCCAGACTTTATCCTACAAATCTGGACCTCATTGAGTATATACCACTGTAACGAACAAACCATTATTGGAATGAGTGAGATGAGAATGTGGCGAAATTCGACAGTACGGTCATGATCATAAGGGGACAAACGCGGCAGCCGCCCGTTGTCAAGAGGGCAGGCGCGGACAGGACAGCGGACCGGACGAGGCGACAGGACGGAAGATGGTGATGAAACCGGCCGAGCACAGGAGCGGCCGGCGGTTTCGATGAGACGAAGCGAATGGGGTGGGCACAAGAGGAGCTTCACGAGGAGGAAGGAGCCAAGCGCGAGACGAGACGAGACGAGCAAGACGAGCATTCGAGGAGGAGAACAGTGAGCAGCCTTGGGGCTCGAAGAGGTGGAGCGCGGAGATGGAAAACCCAGAAAGCGCTCGAGAACGCCCTCGGAAGTCGCCACCGGTGGCTTCGATGAGACGACGTACGCCGCGAGAAGACCTTAACGAGAAGAAAGAGCCAAAAAACACGGACTTTTAATGCATGCCCAGCCCGGCAATCGTGCTGCGTTGATTTTCTTCAACATCTTTGTTTCTTTTTTTCCTTTATTTCTCCCTCCTCTCGCATCATGGGTCTCGGTGGGCGCTTCTCCCTCGATGAAAAGGATGGAGATCTCGTGAGTCCACACCCGTCGTCGGGCGTAGGTCGTGTTTGGTGGGAATATGAGGTTTAGCATATGCGAGAGGACAAGGCACTATTATGAGGAACAGCAGCGCGAGGGAGTGGGAGGGAGAGGTAGGAAGCTCTCGCGCTTCATAGATTATAGATAGCGCGGAGGCAAAGCTGTTAGTCGCAGTGGAGTGGGGTGCGCATCGTTTGCAGTCCCTTTTCTTTGCACGGACGAGACAGCACGGGAAGCCATAGAAAGAGCCTTCACAACTCTTTCTTCAGCCACCGCGACAACTGGAACTGGTAACAGAGGAGAGCTCATGCCGGTGCCTCTTTCGGGTCGTTGAAAAGCCGAAGCCACACGCGCTCTGCAGACTCCTCCTGCGCCTGCCACGTGCTTCACCAGGTCCTCAATAACGCTCCGAAATTTCACATTAGCACAAGTGTCAGCACCTTCAGGTAAGCCTCCGGGTGGTTTTCGCCCTCCTCGTCGGTTTTTTCGCTGGTTTTGACCGTAGCGCGGGGTCGCCAAAGATCAGTACGACCTTCTCCGACTCTCTCTGTTCTCGTCAGGGTCCAGAGCTCGAGCCTTGCCCATCGTCGCGAAGCATTGACGCCTCGTCGGACCTTCGATTCTACCAATCAAAATAACAGCTCTGTAGTTCCCAGCCTCTTGTCGAATTGGGACCGCTGGGGTGAGAATATTCCGGAGCATTGTGAGCTGTCAGGTGTAGTGGCCCCCACCGTAAATATCAGAATAATATCGTAGGTATACGGGAAGAGACCGAGTACAAATGACCGGCTTTCTCTTCTGACTATGACGTAATCGTGACCTGGAACATGGTGGGTCCCAAACTTCGAGGTCGTGGACTCTGTATGAATTCAGACTTGTAATTGGTTGGAGGTCGGGACCGGAAAGAGGTAGGGCTCGGTTGGAGTCGCGGAGGTAGAGTAGAAGCGGGTTCTTCACTGGGTTTATCGTTACGAATTTCGCGTCGTCGTGGCAGAAGTGCGGGGCGTGGGAATCGAGGGGTTTGAGTTGCGGGTGGGAGAGGGCGGATTTGGTATTCGAGCGAGCGGTTTGACGAGTGGGGTTTGAGAACCACGTTAAGGAGGGGGAGTGGGTGGAGGAGAAGGACGAGCGAGAGGGGACCTCTGCTTTTGTAGAGCTGCAGGTGGTTTGCTATCTTTCTGATAGATTGGTGGGATAGATGTGAGATGGTCTCGTGATTGGAGATTGGGTCGTGGATCTTTGCCCGCTGCAGCAGCTAATAATTTGTTTTCCCCCTTGTCGGTCTAGAGAGCCATGCAAGCACCCGCTGTACCCGCTGTGCAGCAGCAGCAGCAGCACTGCCCCATTTCCGTTACCTCCTCCGGCTCTCGATTCACGACACCTGCCGTTGTTCAGGCCTTCAGATTGTCGTCGTCGTGCTTCTTCCACAGTTCATCCTCGTCTCTCAGGTAGGCAAGCGCGCAGTCAGCACGAGGCGGGTTCGCTTCTGCTCTGTAACCTTCTTTTCACCCCTTTGTCGTTTTCCCGATCTGTCAGTCTGCCTCCTGCCTCACCCCTTCCAATCCACGAGCTCCGTCTGATTGGAACAATTGTGCTTCCAATTTGTGGCAGTGGTTCGTACCCGGATTTTACCATTGAAATGTTAGTCGGTCGTGTGTGAGCTCACCCCGGGAATTCAATGATTTAATTTCCACATTCGTTTGATCGGGTTCTGTGGTGGAGTTAGTGGGTTGCTGCTCATCATTCTCATTGTATCGAATTCATGAGCTTCGCTCTTTGATTTCGTCGTGCCCCCCCTGTACAACCTCGTCTTTTGTCCGCTACTCATAAATCTGAATAAGGCAAGCCTCATCATGGACTACATAGTTAGGATGTGATGGAACTAATCCGGTTGATTTCTTTTGGTCGGATTTATTTGCAATGTTACAATTGAGTGCACTGATTTGAGTACAGCGGAGGGAAATGAATATCGGATTCCAAAGTATTCCGTTCGCAGGTTCGAGGCGAGAATTGGTAGCTTATATACACTCGTCGCCGTAGGCTATGATTAAACATTTCCTCTATGTAACTGTTCATCCTCACTCTACTCAGTACTTTATGTGACGGTTGTGGCTGTTTCAGAATTCTGAGATCACGTGCGGATCAACCATTGCGGAGAGCTCTCTCGATCCCACATCACCGCATCGAAGCCATGGTATCTCTTTCCAGTACAATTACATCTTCTTGAAGTTAGTTGTTGGGATGTGTACCCGCAATCTTACATAACAGTAGGTGATCGAAATACGGCTCGCTGAGTTTGATGTTTAACTCCCTGACGTCTGTTACAGTTACCGAACTGAACTAACATTGACTACGGCCGAATGACCTTAACTTGACGATTGTGAAGGAAAGAATTGAAATCTGCAGACGCATAAGTTTGTCTTGCTCATGTGTGCATCCTGAATAACGTTAGACTTACAATCCTTAGGTGCAGGAGAATTGCCGCAAGTTCTGCACATGAATGATTTGAGGAAATTGAAGTTTCGGCAGAGTGAGTGTGATGCGATTTCTTTGCTTGCCGTGGCATAAACTGGCATCGGATACGTTATCCACTAGAATTGAGCAACTTCCAGATTGCTGAGTCCTAATTCAAAGGACAATGTAGCGGAGATGTGGTGTTGTGGAAACTTTGGTGTAAGTGACAGCATCAAGGTCCTTAAAAAATGCTCTTGTTGCACGGTACGATTTGTTATTTGCATCACATACGTATGATTCTAACATGTAGCGCTTAACGAAGTCAAAACTTCTATACAAAATACCGGTGTCATTGGAAACGAAGTAGGAAGAGTGAAGAGAAAAGGATTGCAAGAACTCAGCGGAGGAAGCTTTGATGTCAGTTGGTTCTGATCGACTGCTTGGGATGTGCAGGCTTCTGGTCAGCATGCCCCGATTTCAGAAAGTGCAGCGTGGGCGGACCTGAAGGTGACTTGACATTGACGTTTGGAGTCATCGAATGTGAAGTTAACTTTGTCGTAGCTACAGTTAGAGAATCTAGCTGACCAGTTCTGTCTACGTGCTCATGACAGCAACACGTGAAGACTATTGAAGGTACCCACTTGCGGAACCTTATGCAAGACAACAATCGTTGTGAAGAACTTATCAAGTAAGGCCCCAACAGTTTAGTGAAGCTCTCCTCTATGACTACTTAGACGTGCGTAGAATAGGCATATTTAGAAAGGTTTACAATCTCGTGAAGGAGTTCTTTCTATAACTTGCAGTAGATGAAGCAACTCTTATAATATAATGTATTCATGAGGCTCCTTGTGGAAGTTGATCATTTGAATTCGTTTTTATTTACTGAGGAAGCATTCAAACATTTGTTTCCATTTTCTCCTGTATTTTGTAAATTCTGCTGACTTGTGAATTTCCATTTTTGCATGTATGCAGGGAGTACGATGGAATTGTGGTTGACTTATCCCGACAGCGTGTCATTCATGACACTGTGGACAAGCTCCTCAACCTGGCCGAGGTTTCTGATCTGTTTAATTATCTAAGTGACATCGGTGGTATAGATTAGTCTGCTTGTCGCGAAGATGGATTTGCACATCACAATCCCTTTTTTTCCTAAGATGAAACATATTGTGCAAATATTAGAGTATTTCTATGACAATAGACAGCAATATGAGGCTCGTAACCCCAGAAAAGTTCCTGTCACATTGTTGTAGATATACGAACATGATGTTATTGTGATCTGATCATGTTTTGTCTTGGTGGATTACTGATTTTGCATTCACTGGGTGTTGCAGGAAGCTAAACTCAAAGAGAAAATCGACCAAATGTTCGATGGCGTCCACGTGAGTGTTTTTACTCTCTTGGAGATGTTATAAGTATATTGAAGGGCTCTACCAGCCCTGATCGAAGAGACCGATTCTGAAAACAGCATGAATTGATTTCTGCATAGAACGTCTGTTCTGAGGATCTTTATTTCGTACTTGTGTGCAGATTAACGAAACTGAGAATCGATCAGTCCTACATGCAGCTCTCCGAGCTCCAAGAGACGAGGTCATCAACTGCGATGGTCATAATGTTGTCCCTGCAGTTTGGGACGTGCTGGATAAAATTGATGCTTTCTCCGACCAGATTCGCAGTGGCTCATGGGTATATAAGCTTAACGTTTGCAGATCTCAATTTGTCTTCTATGTAGAGATCAAACGAAAGTTGTTACGTCGTATTTTCTGCGATCCTGAACTGCAAGCAAGAAGCTGATCCCATAGTTCAAACTTTTGTATTCTGTGCAGCTAGGTTCAACTGGCAAGCCTTTGACGGACGTTGTGGCTATCGGGATTGGTGGGAGTTTTCTAGGGCCTCTTTTCGTCCACACTGCTATGCAAACAGGTCTCATTCGTTACTACGTGTTCATCGTTGAACATCTCATTATTATGTTCAGTTGGGTTGGTAAAAGCCAGTTGCTAGGGAGAAGGAAGTAATTTCTGTGAATATTTACAACCGGAAGACTATGATCGATGATTGCAGAGCCGGGATGTGCTCAGGCTGCGAAGGGACGCAGGCTTCGCTTGTAAGTACAATGCCAATTTTTTTTAAGAGTAGACCTAGACTGAAGTCTCCGGAAAATGTAAACTCAGGAGATTTGTCATATCTCTTTATTGAATAGACTAAGGGTGAGTGATGTTTCTTTTCAGAATGTAGTGTAATGAGTTTACTCAGGTGAACGCTTTACACCGTATTTTCTTGGAAACAAAAGCTTGCGCACAGCGAATAACGTATGTGACTGAAAATCTTGAGAATGCTGTTGTTGGAACCGAAAATAGTTGTGAGGTTTTCAGAAGCTAAGGCGCTTTACTGCTTGCAGTCTAGCAAACGTCGATCCTATTGACGTCGCACGTGCTCTTCTAGACCTCAATCAAGAAACTACTTTAGGTATTGACCAAGAAACTTGCCACGTTTTCTTTCGTCAAAGGTTTTTTCATTTTTATTATGCTAGAATGAGTGTCAAAAATTTATAAGCAAAAAAGTTATTGCAGACGTTATGTGGGGTCTGCTCTGTGCATGATAAGAGGCTATCCTAGTAGGCATGTTCTAGTATATCTGTCGTATTGTAACAAAACTATTGCTGTATAGTTTCGGCAAACTCGTTCTAGTCTTCTTGTCATGAGGATGAGCAGGTTTTTGACTGTTTGGCCTACTGTTGAAACCAGTGGTTATTGTCTCAAAGACTTTCACAACTGCTGAGACGATGTTGAACGCTCGAACAGTAAGGACCTGGATCACATCAGCCCTAGGGTAAGCTAAATTCTTGATCGACGAAGCACATTACGCATCTCGGTAGCAATTTGTCGCTTTTCAGCTTATAACTGAAGCCTAAATTTGACGTTATACATCACAACTTTATCCTCCTGTGCAGAGTTGAGGCCGTATCTAAGCATATGGTGGCCGTCAGCACAAATCTTAAGGTCAGTAACGGACTTCCTTCCAGAAGGAAGGGTTGTGTTGAAATCATATCGATGGCTTGTATTACTAAGCATAAAGATTGGTGACCCGAGTTGACTGCTGAATACATATTGTTTGCTTCTGTGGGTACAGCTAGTGAAGGAGTTTGGCATTGACCCGGCAAATGCTTTTGGATTCTGGGACTGGGTTGGTGGACGATACAGTGGTACGTCAGAGTCATACAATCTAGCTTTGTCTCAGTTGTAGCAAACGACTCAGGAGATTTACTTCCTACTAGTTGTTATTCCTAGTCTTTTTCTTTTCGTGATTACCTGTTATTCACAATGTTCATATTCCGGGTTTTCCTTTGCAATCATTTTAGTTACTAGCATCGATTCAATACCTGAAAGTTTTCATTGATACAGTTTGCAGTGCCGTTGGCGTGCTACCACTAGCCTTGCAGTATGGATTCAGCCATGTGAAGAAGTAAGTAGAAACAAACCTCGACACTGTCAAAAAGCAAACCCTCTTGATTATATCGTAATAACTCGTAAAAGGCAGTGACGTGGTGCTTTGTCCTCTTTCACCGTAGTTCATTTGTATTTGTCTTGAGGTGGGAATGCGTTTGCTTAGTACGCTTGCCATGCATGTAGCCTGGAATCACTTGTATCAGATGCCTGTCATTGCCAAAGTTCGATAACTTGTCGCCCCACCGGTGCAAGATTCACTCTGTTTCTTATATATTCGAGGGGTCATATATATCATTCTGCTTGTTTGGATGATAAGTTTCCAGGTATCGCGAGGAGTCCTTTTATGTACGAAACTAAGTTGTGGTTCTTTTAAGTAATAGCTTGTGTCTGGTGTAGGTTTTTGCAAGGCGCATGGAGTATCGATGATCATTTCCGCTCAGCTCCCTTGGAATCAAATCTTCCTGTAAGTCATGCAATTAAAAACACTACATATGGGGTGCTCTTTCTTGTCTAGTGTCGTGTTTGAGACATGATGTGTACGATGATAATCAGATGTTCGAGACATCTAATTATCAGTGCCGCCAAAGCATTGATCTTGAAGTTGTGTCGAGAAGCATGGGCTCTTTAATTGAAGAATAATGAGTTGGACTTTATTCCGGCACAAACGCTCGTCATGCATATAGTATCTTATGCAGCAGGATGCATTTTTGTAGCAGTTGAAAATACTGTTGTGGAGTAAGAAACTGATTTTGATGATTTACCCTTTTTTAATCCCTTGGACTCTGTTCTATGTCAGGTTCTTCTGGGTTTGATGAGTGTGTGGAACGTTTCCTTTTTGGGATGCCCTGCACGTGTAAGTTGAGCTGTCTCCCTTTCTTCAGACCTTCATAGATCTTGTTAGATTATCATTGAATAACTGTCCTTCATGTGCACGGTTGTTTGAAACTCCGATGGTGACCTCTTGTTTATTGCAGGCAATCTTGCCGTACTGTCAAGCTTTGGCAAAGCTCGCCCCGCACATTCAGCAAGTACGTATATATCACGAAGTCATGAAGACCTAGGTTTTATGCTCATCACACTTTACAAACACGTAGATTGCAATGTTTCTAATCTCCTGTAAATTGGAGTATGCAGGTAAGCATGGAGAGTAACGGCAAGGGAGTTAGCTTGGATGGTGTACCCCTGCCCTTTGGAACTGGTGAGATTGATTTTGGTGAGCCCGGTACAAATGGTCAGCACAGCTTCTACCAGCTCATTCATCAGGTGTGCTATACTTAGATCCCAAAACCTCAGCGTACAAATTTGTTTATCAGTTTTTGGGTCTCGACTCATCTATTATTTTAATAGGAAAGTTATATCGTCAGTTCTGTTTCCGCATTCCTCTCGAACTCAGAAAACGCTTCGATGCGTGTGTCTATTTAATTAGACGATTTGAGTGAGTATCTGCTATCTTGCAGGGTCGTGTGATTCCTTGTGACTTCATCGGAATCATTAAGAGTCAGCAATCTGTTTACCTGAAAGGTATAGTCAATCTTTTTAGATACCAATCTTCTTGGAGGTGTCAACAGGAAAGAGACCGATGGCAAAACAAAGTGAAATGGCTGCAGTTTATCTGTACTTGCATTCGAGAAGGACTCATGTGATGGAAAAATAAGCAGTTTTTGATTTTTAACGGATATTGCGTGTTTAATAGGTGAGCAGGTTAGCAATCACGATGAACTCATGTGCAACTTCTTTGCCCAAGCTGATGCGCTTGCTTATGGAAAGGTATGTTCAGTCTTTCCCTCTGTCCTTCTCGCCTTGGGCGTTTGGAAAAACGAAATACACTTCGAAGTACTTGTTAACTTACCTGTAATTGTTATGCACAATTTTTATGACCAATTATTATACACCGTGGACGAATACATCTTCTTCAACTTGGATGTCTGCTCGCTTTTCTCTGTTTCACAGTCGATTGATATTCATCTTAAAAAATGAACAGAAGTTCTGTGTAGTAGAAACTCTTCCTGTCGGGTTGCACCGCAGTGAGTGGGAGAAGTTCCGTTCGTTCTCGGAAAGTCAAAGTTCCATAAAAATTTGTTTGCTTTTGGGAAGGACTATGGTTGAGAAGTGGATCTCGAAGGATTTTGTTTCCTGTGTCTTCTGTATCGTAAGGCTTGCTGTCAATTGCAGCTTGAGGACAAGTTTGGCAAGGCGATATGAAAGTAGTAAGACAAGACAGAATGAAGTTTTACCATAACTGCCTAGTTAAGTACTCTGACAGCAACTCATTCATGGGGATAACAGACAAGGGAAGAGCTGGTTGCGGAGAAAGTTCCGGAGGCTTTGATCCCACACAAGGTTCAAATATTTCCTTCACTTTCGAGCTATTTCATGTCCTACATGTCTTCTCTTGTTTCAGCTCTGATTACTTGCTGAGATATTCTAAATTCCTAAGACATCTACAAATTGCACAGATGTTTTCTGGGAATCGACAATCGTTGAGCATTCTACTTCCCAACCTTACCCCATACACTGTCGGTCAGGTAAGAAGAAGCATGCTGTCTCAAGATTTTATAATATTTGTCAATCTATTTATCCGAAAGTTCAAGCAAGAGAAGGAATCACGCTTCTTTGTCAAAATCTGGCGTTACTAATCTGCTGTTCTTTTCCCTGTGTAGTTATTGGCCCTGTATGAGCATAGAGTAGCAGTTCAAGGCTGGATTTGGGGTATCAACTCGTTCGATCAATGGGGTGTCGAACTTGGCAAGGTGAAGTGTCGCTTTTCTCAAGATGCAGAGGAAATGTTATTCGGACCTCTTGGGAACACCACCCAGATGTGACTGGCTGTTGAGTTTTTGTGTCATGAATGTGAAGTGGGAAATATAGAGCGTTCAGTGTGTACGTAGTGGTCTTCGTTTACTTCCCAAGCGAGATGCAAACTGCATCTCATATCAATTTCTCTTATCAGCTTCAGCAACACGGTTCGTCTGCAGTCAGTGACATGAACCGTTGCGACGTTAATTCGCCTAAGGATGAACTTGGATGGACTAACCGTCAGTGGTTGCATGAAACAGAGTCTTGCCGGAAAGGTGCGCACGCAAATGAACGCCGCTAGGACAAAGACCCAACCTTTGTCCGGATTCAACTACAGTACTACCACACTTCTGACTCGCTATCTTCAGGTAATCGTCTATATTTTCGTTCATGTCAGGCATTGCAAGATTACATTAGTAGTTGGCATGAAGTGCGAACTCCTTTTGATCCTGTTGTGCTAGAAGTAAATTCCTGGGAAGGTGTATTAAACAACACAGAAATAGCCACTTTCATAGATGTGCTTTTCTGAGCAGTTCTGGATTTTTACGCAAAGCGTGAGCAATTTTTATTTTTCGAAACTTCAAGGCGAAGATGCGACTTCCTAATGAATACTTCAGAAGGCATGAACATGACATGCTAGTGAAACGTGTAGTCTACCTATACAAGCACTTTGAAGGGCAGACAATCGACCGTTTGCAGAGTGGGCTTCAAGCTTCGAGTATCTGACACTCTTCTGTTATCGAATCTCCGTATGTGCAGGGGAAGACACAGCTTTTGTATCCAGACCCCCATGATGTTTTTCCTTCCAACGTTCTTCCTGGATTTGAGAAGTAATCTGATGAGTCCTGGCTTGACTGGATAATCGGTTTGCTCGACCTGACATGCCAAACATAAGCTTCTGGTGTTAATAAGTGAGAATTGCTTGCCTTGCCGTTGAACTGTGCTAGCAAATCCAGGGCATGTTGTTGTCAAGTCATCCCTTCGAAGTCACAGATCAGTTGTCAAAATCCGGACAATCAATTTTGTCATTGATGTAAATTTATACAAGTGCCACGAAGCATTCCTTACGAGGGATCAAATGAAGACCACTGTTCTTCTGTGGACTCAATGCTCCCTCATGTGTGTAATGTGGTCTCAATTCTACGTCATTTGCCGTATAACCCAGTTGGCAAGCCAAGTTGGATTCTGCAAAATATAGATAGGTCATTTGAAAGCTCACCAGCGTGCACTTCAGTTATAAACGTACGATGATAGGCCGGGGGGCTCATGCGGAATAAAGGTGAAGCTGAAGGTGATTGAGAGCTGATGAAAGTCTACGGCAAGGATAGACCCAGTTCTTTAACAATACCCAGCGAACAAGTGGAGCAATGCAGACGGGCTAATTCCAATATGATCACATCTGTCCTCAGCAAATATTGAGTGAGCTGCGTCCGCTGCGATCACCTTCACTTTGTTTCTTACAGCGATTATTAGTCTCATGAAGTCGTCAGTCATGTATCTTGACTTGAGGCAAAGATTTTTCCTCTGGATTCATGACATTGTCCCATGGCTAAGGACTTTACGCAATGAGAAATTTTGTCAATTCAACTTCTATTCCCTACGTGTCAACATTTTTACTTGCTTGCGGTTTAGTCATGCACTTTTGATCCTCTGAAGCCTTTTACAGGAATCTAGCTTTATCGGAGGATTGCGAATATTCAATTTCTTATGATTTAAAGTGTGCTTGTGCCAAACTGTCCAGACGTGTAGAATTCAACGTGGCGTTTTGGTCTCATTTTAACAAATCCTTTACCATATCATACACATGTAAGACTACATTAGGGTATATCTTACCGTAATGCAGTCATTAGTACAAGTGTTGCAAATCCAGAAGAGTTTTTGCAGGCGTGTATGAGTTTCGTATCTTCAGAGTAAGTGTAAGAAGATGAGATTGTACCAATCGCACCTTCAGTACCTCTCAAGAGCTGGAGGGATTTACACACAAGCAAAATATGTAATAATAATTTTTATATATATTCTTCGTTTTACAGACCGGTTACAGGATAGCAGCATTTCCCATTCCGACGTGACCATTTTCAGGTATTAGAAAATGTTCATCCTATCTGTTATCTGACCTGCCTTTTTTGTAGAAGATAGCTTTAGTCTAAAGGTGCGAACAGTTTCCAAAGCGCTATTATACGAATCTACTGTCGTGCTTTACTGGATCCAGGACTAGACCACTTTCGTGCACAGAGATATTGCAAATCAGAACAATTTAGTAAGGTGAGGTCATCAGGCGGGCATACCTTCTTTATGTCCATAAACTAAAGAAAATACGTGAAAGCAATAATGTCTATCGATTCGGATACTGTTTATGTGTCTCTTCAATAGGGTATTGTAAAATGGTTTGATCATTTCTCTCTTCTCTTGTTTGCTCGTTTGCATGTGCGACTGTTTTTATGTGCTTTTCTTTCCATGATATCTCCACAACATTGTCTCATATGATCGGTGATGCGGTATGAGTTGATAGACATTTGGTTAATAATTTGAAAAAGAATCGTTCATCATAAGCGTTATTAAATTAGTCTTTTTAAATAAAGTTAAACAATAAATCTATGAGTTTCTGAGTAAATCCATACTCAAATTTTTTTTTAGTAAATATTGAATAAAGATTAGAATTAAAATTAAAAATATTTTTTTAATTGATTCAAGAATAATAATTTATATTTATAAAAAATTAATTTCACACAAACTTTTTCCAAAGGAAACTCAATCTAATAAAATATTCTTATAATTTTTTATTGTGAAAATAAAAATAAAATAATTTTAATCAATTCATCCATGATAGTATTAAATTTCTCACCCATATCTAGTGATATTCCCATGATTACTTTTGCTTATTATGGTCAATTCAAGTCTCGAGCTAAATTCAAGTTAAACTAACTCAAATTAGAACTAGGATTAGTTACCATAGTTAGTAATAATTCTAGGGTTTCTGATGTAGATATATATGAGGGACGAGATTTAACTTGCCTCAAACAATGTGAAGTATCTTTGAATAAAGATTTTGATATATCTCGTAAACTTAGTATGGGCAAACCACAATTTGTGTGTCGGAAGTTATTTTTATTCTCGTATTTGGTCCAACTTTCATTTGAATACAAGGTAAGTATGATGATTATTCAAGCTCTCAAGAGTCACAAAAGGCAGAAGTGAATCTATGACAGCTCTATAAAATTATTCACCATAATTTTTCACAAACATTCTCCATATAGTCTCTTTTGTCGATACATTCTCTAAATCCCTACATATGTATTGAGTTGAATTAGAGACTACGTATCTATCTAGATTCATTCATTATAGAAGGTAGATGATACAATTCCATGTCTCTCTTTAACTAACCGATTGGTAATATCTATCAATGACACTCTTGACTTCATCACTCTAATAAAAAATGTTGCATCCCAATATGCCACGATATCCATTTGGAAATCATTATTCTCCATTATACGAAGATGAATATCAAGTAAGTTGGAGATTGGCCATTGCGACATTGGAGTTTTTTCTTAGACACTTCCATATTTGCAAACCACAAGTTTTTAACTCTCTTTACATATAGATCAATGATCTCTGCTAGAAATTATAAACTCTCAAAAACTAAATGCTATCTTCATGAGAGATAATCCACTATTTTAGAGAAAAACATGATAACTTTGATAGAATTGTAACATAAGTATTCAAGATAATAGCTTACTCGAAAATCAAACACAACCCTGAAAATGAGAGATGCATATACAGGTTCTAGTGTCCCTTATATTGATCTTCTAAAGAACAAATACAAAGATATAAAATCTCATCTGCATCATCAACTAATAGCGAAATGATGATATGACGGATGATCTAACAAGCACAGAGATTGTTGACCTGTCACAATCAACTAACACATATACTCTCTATCTATTAACCAGACAAATCGTTGACGTGACAATTATAAATATTACATTATATAACTATAACTTCATCTTAAGTAAATTCTATTTCAGTTTTAACTAGCTAAAAATCTTTACATGTACATAATTTTTTTTTAATGTTTAATTTTACTCACTCATTCATTTTCATGTTTGAAAATGATATAATAATTTTCTTTATATGATTAATTTTGATTCAAATAAAAAAATGTAATGAATCAAATATCTTTTAAATGATATTGTATCCAATGCATTTGAATTCTTCAATTTTTAAAATAGCAAAAACAACAATTGTACCATTTTTTTGGTAATTTAAACCAAAATTTACATCCCTTAAATCCAATTGGATAATTGTTATAATCAAAATTATATTTCAGTTTTTAATTTCAAAAAAAATACTTTGAATTTTACTTTTTGTGATAACATAATCATGTTTTTCATTTGCTCATATCATGAACACAAATTTGAAAAGTGCATAATCTTTTCATCTGAAAATATCTGAAATACAATTTTCAAGTGATGCCATATTATAAAAATGATATTGATTTCATTAATTGATGTTAGGATTTAACTATATAGTCCAAAGATTAGAATTGAATTTTCTAGTATGTGCACATAGTTTAGTTGAGAATAATCATGTGTCTTATCTCTATACTAGTTTGACAATGTTAAAATTAAATTCAATTCTAGATCAATTGTAATGTGTAAAAAAACCTAAACAACATTAAATATTAATCAAAATTTCTTGTAAATATAATTTTTTTAGTGGAGTAAGTATATGTTGTCAAAATGTCATCTTATTGAAAAGTGATGTACATTTTTTTTCTATTAGACTTCATCGTACATGCATTTGAAATGTATTTTTTTTGTTTAACAAAGCATAATATCACTTAAGTTTAAAATCAAACATTGTGATTTTGCACATGGATTTGCCATTATTACCTTACAAAATTTATATTCCAGACGTTATGTGTTTTAACTTCATCATATATCATATGTATACAATAATAAAATCCTCTAAATGATTTTGCTAATATGAATATTGCCATACTCTTTTGACTCATATTTTTCATTTTGATTGTGCCTAATTTTTATTTTTAAAACACATAGAATTCACATACATAGAATGACAAAGTAAATATGAATTTTATGTAAAAAATATATTTTTAAATCCAAAAACAAATATTTTTTCAAGCTAGAATTCAAAGATAATTTTATTTTATAAAATTATATATAATAAACCTAAATATATTATTTTTTCTGCAGTTACATGATTGATTTTTAATTGGAATCATATTATTATTTTTTTGAACAAATAATACTTGATAAAATTTTTTTTAATGAATATATTCAATTAAAAAATAATAAAATGGAGTAAAAATATTATTTTTGATAGTGAAAAAGAACATAGAATTTTTGAATTTTTTCAATAATAATTGAAATAATAAAATATATAATAAAATTGATATTTTTTAATGCAATTTTTTTGTTTGAATTAAAAAGAGAAAAAAAAGTATCATCATTATCATATCGATTGAAAATCAAATTTTTGTTTGAAATGTAAGATTTATTAATTTTTCCACAAATATTGCGAAGAAGTTGATGCATTTTGCATAAAACTTATCATAACAACTTCTTACAAAATTTAAATCTTAAAAAATCTTGGATGACATTTTGATTAGTTAGTTATTATTTTTCAATTTGATGATTTGAAATATGTATTCAATATTTTGTTGAATGCTAAATAACTAATTTTTTAATTGCAGTTTTAATAGATTTATTTAATTTATGAGCTAAAAGCTTTTTATCAAATCCAAATGATTTCAAAACTGAATTTTATAAAATAAGATCAGAATTCTTAAATTTTTTATGATCAGTCAAATAATTAATTATTTAAGTGATAAATATGTTTTAGATATTAGATTTAATATTTTTTTAAAAATATACCTTTTATTGACGGGTAAAAGTTAATGGTCACGTGTAAATATGTAAAGGTAACCATTGGATTAGATAGATGGTAGAGTAAAGGTAATGTCATTTGCCTATCCCTTACCGGGGTAATTATAAGTTAACTTGGCGGCTTGGTTAATTCTGTACTTGATTACGGCTTGATTAATTGGCGGCTTTTGTTAAGTTGGTTAATTATGCCGCCCCAGTTGTGTGAACAGACTGATATGTCGATAGTCTTAATGATCAAGAATCAAGATGAGTGATGTCGACGATGCCGACGAAATTTTCAGTAGCGTTGACTTGTTTGACTGCAACAACAAAGAGAAAAACAACAACTTTGTGGAACTTATCTCTGTGGTGATCTCGACCACCTCCAAGTGTAAGCGACAGAAGCTCAATTTGCCGTGGATGTATGTCCACGATCAGCAATCGCGCGATACCTCAAAGTAGCAGTACAAACGCAAATGCATGTTGTGCAAAAAATGATACTACTAAAATACCAATGCGTTAGGTTGGAAGATACATTTAAAATCAGCACACTCAGTCAAAGTTAGCGAAACATCTCACTTCAAATTGCTCGTCAAGTGCTTGACGTAGTCCACGATTGGCAAATCTGTGTTATCGAAACCTACATTGCAGAAGTATGAGAACGCAGTTGTAGATTATATCGGCGGTGATAAGACCATGAGCTAAT